TTATTTTTAAACAGGGAAATTTCAAAACAGGAAATATTATTCTCCATTTTTTAGAATTTTTAATGTCTAATACTAAAATCCGATATTGCGGCCACTTCCCTTGTGTAACGCCGTTTATTGAAAATGGAGTTTAAGGAGATTAGGGGCATTACTAAGGACCCCATGCAAATATAGTTGCATTTTTATACCAAACAAAACCCAAGAGATAGGGAAGATGTAGAGGGCTAGAAGAAGCTAAATTTTGATAGGAGCTCTAGAGGGCAACAGGCACTGGAGGAGTTACGAGGGATGAGGTTGCAAGGTCTTCACATATTGATGCCTGTTGCGATAGTGCAGTGCTATAGAGGCATAATTTAAATCACATTTGCAGCGAATTAGATGTTTATTCACTTATTTAGTGACCACCGAAGGTTATCAGAAGGGGATTTTTATAATATCATGTTGTAGTGCATGGGATTTTCATAATATCATATGTTAGGAGGTGCAAATTAGTTCGAGTATAAAGGTTGAAAAGGACAAAAGATATGTCCAAAAATACGTGGTTCGAAGTATTTTGAAAAGATACGGCTATTTATGGTCTCACTAAGAGTATGACCTTAAATAGAGCAAAATGACATACCAAGATTCATGAAACCAACCCTAATTAATTAAAAAAAAAATGCATTGATGATGATACTATGGTGCATGGGTACTACAAGGCCATCATGGAACTTTTCATAAATTTTCGATGAAATCAAACATAAAACAATTTTAGATGAAATCAAAGATTGGAGAGAGGGAAAGGAGTTGTAATAAACACGTGTAGATATATGGTGATGAATTTTGTGCATATACGGTGATATGTCTATAAATTCTAATAAATGAAAACACACTGTTATCTGTTAAAAGCAACATTCTTTTTATGTACCATTTTTATTCGTCGAGACCCACACGATATTCCATTTTTTAAACTGGCCATTACTTGTTTTTGACAGTCCTTGTTCTAAAAGAAGAGCAAAGCTCATGTCCCCTAGAATTTCCGTTATTATCAAAGTCCGTCCAAAATTCAAAATTTACGCTCATACTCGATCTTTTGCCTTTTTTGTTTTTTTTTTTTTCTTCTAAAATTGGCATTTTTCAGGTACCAAGGTAATTTGAATTTTTTGGATATTCAAAATCCAAAAATTCATTCGCCCCATTTGTTTCATAATTTCTCTACAGAAGCATAGCGAGTAGCATTTTTGGATTTTGAAAATCTGAAAAAATATAAAATAATAATAACTTTTGGATTATAAAAATCCAAAAATGCACCTTGAAAAAAAAAAAATCCATTAACATTTTCGAATTTTTCAAATTTGGAAATTAGAAAATTTCAAATTTTGAACATCCGAAAATGCTCTTGAAAAAAAAAAATTCTTTTTTTATTTTAAAAAATATAAAAATGTTCATGGAAAAACATTGCCAACAAATCACTAAATTTTAGAAATAATCAAATTTAGATCTTGAAGCTTCGAATTATGGGCTGTTTGACAAAATGGGTACAAATGTAATATCAACAAAATATTTACGTAGAATTTAAATAACATACGCATAAAAAGTAGGGAAAACTTTATGTACCTCCCCACTATACTTCTCCCATCTCCCACTGCCTCATTTGAATGAGCGACGGAGATGGCCCAATCACAATGTCTATATATGGTTTTATTTTAAATAAATTTATTGAACATTTGGACACCAAATTGGGGGTGTCCATTCCTCTTTAAGCTCGCACCTGCAAAAAATATTTTTGATGAAATAAAATGACCAAATATATCCCTAAAAGCTTTAGGGGTATTTTGATTATTAATTTTTTATTTTTTATATTTAGTGTGGCGCATTGTGATGATGACACGTATTAAATTTTATATTCATATGATTAATAGAAAAAATTAAATATAAAATACTCTAAGATGTTATATCTGGATCACGTCAGTGGCTCACTAGCGACATTTTGAGACAAATAACCTCAACCGTCCATTTAAATTGGACACTCGATAAGAGAGGAAGTATACAAGATGCATAAGGCAAGAAAGTACAAAAAGTTCTCCCAAATGCGTAATTCCTTCTCGAAAGAATTACCTATTGTTTTCAAAGAACGACCGTTTTTCATGTCATGTTACCTAGTGTTTTAAAAAACGGCGAGTCGCAATGGACTCGCTCGAGTCGACACGGGAATCGGTTGCCTTCATGTTGATTCTAGTGTAATATAGGTAATCAGGCGTGTCTAGAGAAGAATAGTTGTTTCTTAACGATATGCTACAGTGAATAGGGCGAGTGGACACGGTTGCTTACAGAAAAAGCCATTTTTTCCACCAAAAAAACTATAAAAATCCAGTGTTTTTATCAATAATGGAGAGAATAATTTTTTAAGTCTATAAAGCGATGATTGGGCTTGGATCAAACCTAAGAAACAAATTTTATGAAAGAACTTTGGGGATTTTTTAGCGGATTAGGGTTTCCTGCAAAAAGTCAATTTTTGTGGCCGTTCATTATCAATTTGATCCCCTTTTTTTTGCTGAATGATCGTGGTAGAATATGATTTCATCAAAGTAAGGTACAATTATTTGTTGTTTTATATTTAAATTTTATAAATTTAGTTATTTGAGCTCATGTTCTTCCTTTTTCACCAAAAACTTCATCAAATTTCTTTGTTTTTTGATGAATAATAGAGAGAAATCACTATTTAAGTACTAGATTGTTAATTTCTTGCTAAAATTTGGGGGTTTTTTAGTGGATTACAGTTTTTCGTCAAATCTCGATTTCTGTGGTTGTTCGTCATCAATTTGATCCTTTTTTTATTGTGGTAGAACAAACTTTCATCAAAATTAAGTACGATTATTTGTTGTTCTATATTTTAATTTTATGAATTTTGTTTTGTGTAAAAAAAAATTGAGCTTGTGTTCTTCTCCTTTTTCAGCAAAAAGTTGTTTAACTTTTTTTTATTCAATTACTAAGCTGGTGTTTCTTTGTGATTCCAATAATCTGGTTTTCCCTGCATTCTACTAATAATTTTAGGAAAAAATGGACATTTCTTATATTTAAAACTATGATATCTATTAAAAATGATAAATATGATATTTATCGGAACAATATTTTTATTGAATTTAGTCATATTTATTTGTTAATGTGGGAATTTGTTGACATTTACTGTTATTTGTTAATAATTATGTTGTTTAGTATTTTGCATCAGTAAAATTGATATTCATCAGTAATATACTAATATAGTCAAATATTCTCTCAAAAAAAGCCTTACCCTCTGCATCTAATTCCACCCGTAAATTTTCCTCGCAATGTGTTAAAGAAATTCTTGAGAACAACTGAGTTACTATTGTATTAAGACATATCTGATAATTTCATACGCTTGGTGGCCCATTTAAAACCAATTAGGTCTCCTGTAATTCACTCCAAAAACTCAAAAATCTATTTCAAAGAGGCAAACAAATGGCTAATTTGGATGCTAAGTTCCTCTTCTTCGTCCTCACCAGGTCTCACACACTGTTGCTTAGGTCGTAGAACCCATAGACCACAAGTACTTGAAATTTTCAAGAGAGAGAATGTACAAAATGAGATGATTCTATGGAAATAAAAAGAGTGTGTGAGTATTTTTTCCATCTCCTGCCTCTGATTGTCTGTTCAATTTAGAGTTATCATTTCCCAAAAAATGAGGCACTTTTGAATACTGGAGTGTTTAATGGAAATCTTGATTAAAATTTAATGGCATTTTTTCTTTAAAATTTTAAATAAACAGGCTTTCTCCTATAAAGGTAGGAGCATAGTTAAAAGGGGATTGTTCTCTCTCTCTCTCTCGAAAAACGATGAGAAACTTGCCATGAAAACCAAGGTGCTTGTTTCAAGCCCCCAAATCCTAATCCTATATGGGTTGTGTAACTGTGCAATGACCTTGGATCTTTTTGTATTCAGAGAAGAAATCAACAACCTGCAGAACTCAAAAGGCCTAGCAATTCCCTGGATTAAAAGCCATTGAATCAGATTCCTCTCATCTCAATATCAATAGCGTCATACTGAGTGGAGATATTTCAATGAGAAAGAGTTCACATCATTCATACTCACCTTAAACTCCGTAAGTCTGCCCTTGTTAACCTCAAGCTCAATCACTGGATCAAGTTCTCAATCTCATTATTAGAACAAGCCATTGAGAAAGAAACCTAGAGTATACCTCGAATTCATGCAATTTTTAGAGAGATAAACAAGCCGTTGGTGCTCGCAGAGCATTGGGGAGCTTTTGAGAGAGATGAGAGAGGGGGTCGATAGATAGGGTCAACACGAGATGAAGAATATCTTCTTTTATTTTAATATTAGATCGTATTTTAGGACTTGTATGCTTTATTGTAATCCATGCATGATGATATACTTCATCCATGATAATTATATGTTTCTCCTTTTGTATGATGTAAAATTAATGGTTAACAATATTTCATACAGGGAATGTACATCTCAAGATTCGCATATTGATGCAAAGAAATGAAAGCTCTTAATGTAGTACTCCAATTTTTTATTGGATTCCCAAAAAACAATATAATGATTTTCATGTTTTTTTTTTATTTTTTTAAAACCGAATCCAATCGATTTGACCAATTTCTTATCCAAAACACCGATTCACAAATCAAAATGGGTTTTTGGGCCGATCCGGGGCACAGATCCGTTTTTTAAACCAATCCTAATACCATTAAGCAAACCGTCAAACCACATCCAAAGCGGGAGGCATTACCACGAAAACGAACGTTATTTCGGCCATGCGCCCGTTATCTTGAAACAAGGCCCGCCCTAAGCGGTTGGGCCAACAATTGGGCCGCTAACTGTGACGAAGGACCGAGCCCACCATTCCGACGCCGGAAAGCTAACACACGGCGACCACAATGCCCGGCGTTTGACGTCACCACCGTCCCTGTTGTTCCCCTGCAACCGTCTCTCTCTCTCTCTCTCATTGTCTGTCCCGTCTTTCTTCCCTCTTTCTCTCTCCTTTCTTATCCTCAGGCCCTTCTTATCTCTTCTTTCTCTCTCTACCTCTATCTCTTCCTTTCTTCTCTCTCTATATCTCTTCCTTTTGTTGAGCCATTGGGGAAGCCTAGCGCCGGGCGCACCCTCGCCCACTTGCGGTCACCGGCTTCTCCGTTATCTCTTCTCCCTCTCTCTCTCTCATCGCATGATATTATATAATAATACCAACTTCGTTTCCCCTTCTCTCTCTATACCCAACATCTTGTTTTCTAGGGTTTGCAGAAATGGGTGAATACCTCTGCAACCGAAGGCTGATTTAATGGTGGATGTGGTTTTGGAATTTTTCGTCATGGGTTCTTAATTGTAGATCGTTCTCTCTCTTAGGACCCAGATCAGTGGATTACAAGGAATTAGCAGGGGTTATCTCTTTCTTCAATCGTCGTATTAGGTACTTTTCTCTCTTCCATTTTTGTGGGTGCTTTTTTCTCTTGACATATTGTTGGATTTGGGTTTGTTATCTATGTGAAGTGTTCGGTTTGATCTCTCTCTGCGAAAAACTTAAAGAGTACTTGGCTTGAAACTTTTCTCGTTGGGTTTCTCTTTCAGTGAGCAAACTGGTTTTGGGAAAAAAAAATCTCGAAAGGTCATTCATGGGGATTGTAAAGTTGGCTTGTGGGGTTTCTAGAGTTACTGGTGAGCTGTCATCCATGGCTAGTCTTTCAAGCGAGGATGAAGATTCTCGAACCAGGAACTCAGCTTCTGATGAAGAAAACAATATTGATTCAGGTGGTGAATCTGATGCTCTGGATTCATTTGAATTGGGTGAGACAGGTTCTGAATTTTGCCAATTAGGCAACCAGAGCTTTGCCATTCCTCTTTCTCTTTATGAACTTCCGGATTTGAGCTCTATCCTCTCTGTTGATACGTGGAATAACTGCTTAACCGAAGAGGAACGATATAACCTTTCTCAGTATTTACCTGATATGGATCAGGAAACATTTATGCGAACCCTAAAAGAACTTTTCTGTGGTGCCAATTTCCATTTTGGGAGCCCATTAACAGAGTTTTTCAATAGATTGAAAGGTGGGCTTTGTGAACCTAGGGTTGCTCTTTATAGACAAGGGTTGAACTTGTTTCAAAAGAAAAAACACTACCATATGTTGAAGAGATATCAGGACTCCATGGTTGGGAGTTTGTTGCAGATTAGAGAGGCTTGGGAGAAATGTGGGGGTTACAGTATTCAAGAGAGGCTTCGGCTTCTGAAAATTCTTAGAAGCCAAAAGGGTTTGATGAGCGAGAGGGAGGAGGATTCAAAGATGCATGCTTACGAGTCCGAGAGTGACACTTCTTCAGAGGAGGAATCGAGTGATGGCCTGGTTTCGAGTGCATGGAAAAGGAGGGCTAATGATAAGAAGCATCGATCAACTGGGTTTCCTGCAAAAACTGGGCATCGATCTTTGATAACCATGAGACCTTCAGTTGATGTTTCTTATAGAGGTGAGGTATCCAAAGAACCAGAGAAGCATGGGAAAGTGAACCCAAAAGGGATTTTGAAGATTGCTCCAAAGGTTTCAGCTAGAAACACTGAATCAAGTTCATTCAATTCATTGGGAAATCATGGTGTTGAGAAGAAAACCAGACCCCAAGTCTCACTTTTGTCCCTTCCTCAACAGGATCGTACAGTTGGATTTGACCCAACAATTGGTTCTCGAAGAACCAGGAGTCAGTTCAGATTGGATGAAGCAACAGAGCATTCTAATGAGATGACTAGCCAAAAGGTTCGGATTGCCCCAAAGCCTAGCTCTCTCTTAAAGAGCAATGTTTTAAAAGTGGGGAAAAGGAGTGAAGCTTCAAAGAATCATTACACAGAGGTTGTGAGGCAAGAAGGGAGCCCTTTCAATGGGGGGAGGTTGGGAGAAGAGGACTCCGAGAGTGGCATTGATTTGCAACTGTCGTCAAAGAATGGAAAGATGCATTCCAACCTAAAGCCAAAGAAGGCTAGTGAGATGTTGGGTCCTGAAGGTTTTGTAGTAAACCCCAATAGTTTGAGGAGTTCTTATGATTATTATGATAGAGATGGTGGAAAGAAAGGCAAGGCTTCTGATAAATTCAAGTCGGTGCTTGAGAATCATGTGGCACCGATGACGGAGAGGGCTCAGCCAGTAAAGGGGATCCATGTTAACTGGCCATCAAGTCGCCAGTCCTATCGATCAAACATTTCACTTGATGATCATGAGGAGGCACAAGAAGGTGGTTTTTCGACAAAACTTAATGAGTGGGGGTTGAGAAAAACCAAGAAATGGAAGATGGGGGAGGAGATGGTTCATGACTTTCTAGAAACAAGTAAACCCACTGGAGGTTTTGACTCTTATTTTCACTCTGATCGAAGAGCTAAGCATTCATGGGAGAAGAGTGGAAGGAGGCACATGGAGGATGGAGAAAGCCCATCGAATTCTTCAGAGAGTTTTGAGGAAGACGCAGAGGTGAGACCTTCTACGAAGAGGTTGAGTCATGGGGGTGGCCTTGTGGAGGATAACGTCTCTTACTCTTTGAAGAAAAAGTCAAAGTCTAAGATTGGTTCGAGATATATGAAGAGGCCTATTGAGTCTGATTATTTGCGAGATCATGGCAGCAGATCTTTTCAGGATAATGATCGTTTTGGCCCCACAAAATTTGGAGATGACTATCCCAAACAGAGCAACAAATTGGGCAGAAAGGCTCAGTTAGAGGGATACTATGGAGAAAAGCCAAATATGCCATTTCGTAAACCCTTCTCTGAGGAGACAAAGAGGAAGGGGAAGACTGATTTTAAATATACAAATGGGCCTAGTGTTTCTGATTTCCTTAATGATGATGTTGGGGTTGATTCAGATGAGGATGATAGAACACATATGGGCAAATCAATGAGGAAGAGCTATCAAAAAGATGAACAGGGGAGCTCTCGGATGGGATTGCTCGAATGCAACTCTTCAAAGAGAAAACAAAAAGCAAAGGAGGAATCAAACTACTTGAGCAGACCTGATGAGTCCACGAATTACCTTGATGACCAACCTCTTCCAAATGATACCTATCTCGTAAAGAAGCAAGGGAAAATCAAGGCAGAGGTTGGAACTGGTTATTTGGGTTCGGACTCGAATCGTCCGGTTAGAGGAGCAGCTGATGAAGAGCCTGAAGCAAAGCTGGTAAAGAAGCCTTCTGCTCTGATCACGCCTTCAGTCCACTCTGGCTTCTCATTCTCCATCATTCACCTTCTCTCAGCTGTTCGAAGGGCAATGCTTACCCAAGTCACTTTGTTTGTTCAGAAGCACTCTGAGAGGGGTGAAGGGAGGCAGAGAACAAAGAAGGAAGAGCAACAGGGGTTTAATGGGGGAGAAAATTCTATGCCTTCTCTCTCTTTTCAGGAGATTGTTAGCCGTGTTAGCACAAACCCTGGAGACCCTGCTATTCTGAAAACACAGGAGCCCCTTCAGGATCTGGTCAGAGGGGTATTGAAGTTACTTTCATCGAAATCAGCACCATTAGGGGCAAAATCCTGGAAACCACTAGTCCTGTATGAGAAACCCACAAAGGGCTGGTCTTGGAGTGGTCCAGTTTCATCGGACAATGGGTTAGTAAATGAGGAAACTTCCCCTGAAGCTTGGGGTGTTTCCCATAAGATGCTCTCAAAGTTGGTCGATGCATACGCCAATTGGTTGAAAAATGGGCAAGATACCCTTCAGCAAATTGGAAGTTTGGCTGCTCCCCCTTCCCTTTTGATGCTACCCAATTTGGATGAGAAGGAGAGATTCAGAGACCTGAGAGCCCAAAAGAGCTTGACCACGATAAGCCCAAGCTCTGATGAAGTGAGAGATTATTTTCGAAGGGAGGAGCTTATAAGATATTCAGTTCCCGATAGGGCTTTTGCTTATACAGCTGCTGATGGTCGAAAATCAGTGGTTGCTCCTTTGAGAAGGTGTGGTGGGAAGCCGACTTCTAAGGCGCGTGATCATTTTATGCTGAAGCCTGATAGGCCACCCCATGTTACTATACTCTGTCTTGTGAGGGATGCAGCTGCTAGATTACCAGGTAGTATTGGCACAAGAGCAGATGTTTGTACACTAATAAGAGATTCTCAGTATATTGTTGAAAATGTCTCAGATGCGCAGATAAACCAGGTGGTGAGTGGGGCATTGGACCGGTTGCACTATGAACGTGATCCATGTGTGCAGTTTGATGGGGATAGAAAGTTATGGGTTTATTTACACAGAGAAAGAGAGGAAGAGGATTTCGAGGATGATGGGACTTCTTCTACGAAGAAATGGAAAAGGCAAAAGAAAGATGGAACTGAGCCCTCTGATATGGGAAATGTAAATGATGTTGGTTACCAAGGAATTGGTGATCAAGTTGCAGGTGGGTCTTCAATGGGATATGATTTCTCCACTGATTTCAATGTTGAATCTTCGTCCATATATTCAGATGGTAAAGAGCTTGGATATGCTGATTTGAGGACAAGCATGGATGATGGCATTGAGCCTTTCATAGATTCAGTTCCAGGTGGCTTGCATCAGGGCCATCCTATGGGTTGGGAGGTTCTACGGGTGAATCCTATTCGTCGGGATACAACCATGCAGTGCCATGATAGTTCTGCAAATGATGATGTTGATGATGATGCATTTGATAGAGATAGACCTGGTGGATTCTGAACAGAAGACTTTAATGTGAAGAGCATATGGGGTATGACTTGTTGGTGATTTTTGCAGTTCAAGGTATCTTTTCAGAATTCTTAATGCGTCTTCTGACTTAGTTGCTTCTTTAAGAATTTGTGATAGGTTAATTTGGAAAGCATGTATTCTACATGTTATCCATGGAGACTACCCGTTAATATGAACTGTTGTTTCCTTTTTTTATTCTTTGCATCTTTTATGATTGTCAATGTAATTTTAGGTTTTTAATAGAGTTATATGTAGTTCTATAACTACCATTGATAAATCTTTGTTTTAATGCTGTAGAGGAAAGACAATATCAAATGTTGTATCTTTCCACAAAGGGGTTTTGACATAATGAATATTATTCAAATTTATATGTTTTCCTGCTCTGGACCCTTTCCAATAATGATCTTGTTGAGGTTTTTAATTGACAGGGAACTTATTGCTTCAACCTTTAATTTCTCCATTGGCATTTTCTAGGTGATAATGCATGCGTTTACTCTCATGGTGGGAATTTGGCGAGCCTTATTTCTGAGGCCTAGCAAATAATTGCGTACTACAATGTTATACTAAGTCATGCCATTAAGGTAACACATGCATTTTCCTGGTGGGAATTTGGCGAGCCTTATTTCTGAGACCTAGCAAATGATTGTGTTCTACGATGTAATACTGAGTCATGCGACTCGTACCATTAAGATTTTTTGCCTTGTTTCTGAGGCCTAGCAAATAATTGTGTTCTACACCCAAGCGCAACATATGTTCATAAATGTTCAAAAAAGACCATAAAAGTCTACTCTACAATATCCTCTTTTCCATACCCCATAAACCCTTTCATAGCACTTGAAACTGAACCTTAAAACAAATTAACATTAATAGAAATAAGGAGAGAATCCCAGACAAACCATGGAGTTTTCACACTGATAACCACGCTTCGGGAATGATGCGGAGCATGTTACCATCCTGAAGCTATTGGAGTTGCCAAAGGTAGTTCAGGACATGTGCCTCTGCTCAAATCACCAATTTGTGGTTGGCAGAGGCCAGCATATGGATGACCTCCAACAATTTGCACATGTCTGCAGCCCTAATAAAGAAACATGTAGAGGATAGCTGTGAAAGCAGATGGTAGAAAGGTGACTTGGAGGTTGACTCAGATAGGGGATCTTAAGAAGGTGACTTAGAGGTTAACTCGCTTAGGGTATGGTATGAAGCTGTTCGCTATCATCTTGGCGAGAATGAGTAGGAAACATAGGATTGGAGTTGGGGGATTGGCCAATTTCATGAAAGCAATGGACACCTGTTGATAAGGGTTCTGGAACTTCGAATGACAGTTGGGTTTCGGACCAAGTGAGGGAGGTGAGCACCCATTATGCACTTGTTATTGGGCGTACTGACTCTGTGAATCTGAGTATGATCAAGTGGAATGCAATGCACAGGTTCTTTCCCTCTTCCTCTACTTCTCTCGTTTCCTCTCATGATACCCTTCTGAAGCTATAAACTAATGTAGTCAAGGAGTACGGGAAAAAGCAGATGGGGATTCTGAGTGTTAAAGCAGGAAGCGTAGAATCATTGGTGACTGTAGAAGGATGGAAGGAATCTCCTTGGATTTGTGCTAACGAGGCTCTGTGAGGACTCTACTCTAAGTTTAACATTAGCCTTCAACACAAATCCTGTAGACTTGCAATGCACAAGATTTGCTTCACACTTAGCTTGTGATTGGTTGAGATTTCCGGTTTATATGCTATATTCCTCTAGCACCGACCACAGTCCCCACCACAAAGATCTACTTTTGCAGTCATGTATATAGGAGTGGCTCTTGGGTCTCAATAAAGATCAGAGATGGAGACTGCAGTGTTCTTTGTGCACCCATGCATCACTGGTTCAATAGATCAAGCATTGGCTCTGCATGGATCCTTGCTTCCACAAGCATTGATCCTTATATCTCACGGATGGAAAGTGGCGTTGCCTAATAGCTTACAAGACTAATGGTACTGTGGTATACCATAGTCAACCCATCCCCCCCCAAGTTGAATCGTCAATGACCTTTATAGCTCGTTGGAACATCACATTTAAACCCTGTAATATGGGGACTTTCTTCATGAGCTTTAATTTAGGTGGGCTGTGCAAATCTTAATCTAATAGGTAATTGGGTGGTTTAAAAAACATTAAATGCATTTGGGGAATATCTGAATTCATGGGCGAGCTTCGAGAAAATGTAAGTGTAGTTTAGCAATTTTTACTATTATTTCCCAAATCTGACATGTTGGTTGGGGGTTTGAACACTATAGATCAGGTTCATTTGGTCGAAGTGGGTTCCACAAAGCAATCATTGTGTCATGCAAGGCATTTATAGCATTAACAAAGGTGTAGATTTTAATTGCAACAAATTTTTTTTTTTATTTTGTATTTATCACTTTAAATGCAACAAAACCGCATGAGGCCGAGAGGAGGCTTCATGCTTGTGCACTTGGAATTCCAAATTCTATGTTGTGCCTTTGTGATAGAATGTGATTTAAAGGAAAAGTTATTCGCTGCAACGTCCATCTCTGAGATGGATGTTGTACAAAACCCATGGGGGCTAAAATGAATTTAGATGGTGTAGAAATTTTCCTTAAAAAAATCACATTTGAAATATTGAAAATTTTATTTTATTTTCATTGTCATCATCATCTTAACCTAGATCATGAATCCCTAAAATTTTGGATTAAAATCTATTTTTAAGATAGCTTTATGTGGGGGCCCGCATATGTACAGTATGAGTCGACTGACTCATAGAAACCCCATCCTTACCTGAAAAGCAAGGTTATTGTGGTGCTTTTCGTGCATATTAACTGATTCAGTGTTTTTTAATTGCAAAAATATTTTTATTTGGTATTTTATTTATATTAGCACTGAACCTGAAAGGACACACTGCTATACCCAATTAGAATGCCAAATTCCATGTTCTGCCCTTCCCAAATAATCTGATTTTCTCTGAAAGCAAGGTACTTAGCAATGTTATTCTCATTAATTAATTCACGGTTTTTCAATTGCAAAAAATTCTTTTTTATCGAAAATATTAGTGTTATTATATGAAACTCAAAGATCGCCTTGGAATGCCGATTGTCATGTTTTGTCCTCGCAAAAGTATGTGATTAACTTTGAAAGTAAAGGTAATAGTAATTCTGTGCGCAATGGGTTCTGTACAATGGACATGGTAATTGATAGATTTATAAAATGTGAAATGTCTACATCGAAATGAATACTGAGGACACTGGTAAACATGATGAGAGCAATATGATAATTTTCATAAAATTAATATTTTACCCCTGAAAGAATGGTGATATGTGTTGATGAATGAGGGCAACAAGGTGATTTCATTTAATACTGATTCCTGAGGATGGATGATGCACTATACAGATGTCTCAGGTAATAGAAGGTGAAGATTTAGTTTCAGGGGAAAGTACTTTAGGAGTTGAGGTATGCTTGGATGTGATAAGTGCTTAGCGGGATTGAAGATTATGGATTACCATGTAAATTGCCCATAGGATTGCTTAGTTTATGGCTGTACTGAAAGCCCTTTATGCAAGCGAGGATGACTGCACAAGCTAAAATGGATATGATGGCTACTGACACATGGATCATAGATAAAATATGAGCTCTAAGAGTATGCACGGCTACAATCGAACCATTGGGTATTATAGGGCTTCACAACTTTGGACTATTTTAAAGGTCCATATCTATTATAACAGTGAGTATCGGTTATGTAATAGAAAGAAAATGACCACTCTTTTGGGTATTCACTTAATCTTATTAGGTGTGGGCGCTTTTCTCCTAGTGTTCGAGGCTATCTTCATCTAAGCTCTCAGAGTATGCACGGTTACAATTGAACCATTGGGTATTATAGGGCTTCACAACTTTGAATTATTTTAAAGGTCCATATCTATTATAACAGTGTGTATCTGTGACTTACTCCTACGATCCACATACACTTACAGAATCAGTCTTTGCCCCCGTGTTCGTGGGTATGATAACCAAGACCACCTGGTGAATAATAGAATACATAATTTAACAAACTCAATTGAGGCATAATATATTATTATGTAAGCATTAAGTTAATAAATACAAAAAAGGTTACTTCGAAGATGATCTTAAAACAATTTGAAATTACAATTCATCATAATTTATAGTTCCACTTCCATAAAATTACCTGGTTATCATGAGAGATCTCTGCTTTAGAGAGAGAGAGAGATGTGAAAGGAAAACTTATTTATCTGGAGTCTATTTTCCCAGGGGTGTTTCCTGCTTTTGTAAGGAACTAAGGATTAAGGGTTGACATAGATCTAATGCTATTATTAAATCAAACAAAAACATGGTAGCATTAATTGGGTGTTAATACCATGGATGCTTCTAACAAATTTATTTTATACGGTATGGAATAGTGTTATGAACGTATGATCCATTATATTATCAATCACCCTATGAATCAAAAGCAAGGAACACTTCCTATTCACATGGACTTTCCTTCTCTCTCCAATTTGGTAAATGTTGCACACTTTTAGCAGTCTTCTTGGTTGTCTTTGACACATTTCTTCACATTCCTTTTTTTTTTATAATGTATTTAGCGCTCTCACTACAGAAGGAACTTTATATGGGCCTCATCAAGATGGTGTTTCTGTTGCTATAACTGGTTGAGTATTTAATGCTGTAATTTGTAGGAGATTATTTTTGTGTTTCTTGCTTCCATTAAGTTGATGAATGTGTTAATAGGAATCTTTTCAACTGAATATGTTTTCAAAGCAATATTCAAAGCAACTGGTATATGATTACTGTTGGACAAAAAAGAATTAACTGTGATTGTATACGATGGGCAGAACTATCTTTTGATCTTTTGTTTAGGACTTATTTGTCTTATTTCGCGAAGAACAGTATTGTCCATAGTCTGTAATTAGGTTACAACTTAATATAAATAAGAGTTGTGGAGGTCAAAATAGATGACCATGCCACTGTCTTTCTCTCTATCTCTCACATGCCTCCCCCTCTCTCTCTCTCTCTCACATTTCTTTCTTTCCTCTCTTTCTCTCTATAGAACCTATCCTACTCTTCTCATCTCTTTCTCATGTTCTTGAGGAAAAATCTCCAATGGAAATTATTCATCCTAACTCACCCATGTTCCTGTACCTCCCAAGGTGTTCAGTTGTGTATATTTTGTCCACATCCTTGGTCCAGAGGGGGACAAGATTGATGCTAAGCTTTCAAATGTATTTTTCTAAGATATCCATCCCATCAAAAGGGATACAAGTGTTATGATCATATTACCAACGTTTGTTATGTCTCCATGGATGTTACTTTATTTGAATCAGCGCCTTACTTGTCCTCTACAGTCATGAGTGCTCTCTTCAGGGGGAGAGTAAGATACATTTTAGTGAGAAGAGAGCACATCAGTTGTTCCTCTTCCTATTCCCACACCAGTTTTATCTGACGAGAATGGTTTATCTGAAGGGAATGATGTGCATCCAGAAAAGGAGTTGGAAACATATATCAGGAGGAAGGAAATGGTACAACCCGAAGTTCGAAGTGACTATGCTTTAAATGCTAACCCGGAGTCCAGAACTACTCCTGACTCAGGTAATTCTTTCACCCTCTCGAAGAATCCTAATTTGGACTTGCTTATTGCTATTCGCAAGGGTATACCTTCTTGCACTTAACATCCCATAGGAAACTCTATATCCTACAATTCTGTCTTCCTTTCATCATGCCTTCATATCTGCTCTGTCTTCTGTTGTAATACCTTCATGTATTGCAGAAGCACTTTCACAACTTCAATGGAAGGCTGCCATGGGTGATGAGATACAAGCACTTGAGTGGAACAATACATGGAAATCACCAACATTCCTAAAGGGAAGAAGGTCATAGGATGTCGGTGAATATGCACTGTAAAATACAAAGCTGATGGCATCATTGAAAGGTATAAAGCAAGATTGGTTGCAAAAGGTTTCATTCAGACTCCCAGTATTGACTACCAAGACAATTTTGCTCCTATGGCCAAGTTGAACATTGTTAGGATCATTCTTTCACTAGCTGCTAATAAATCCTGGCCACTCCATCAGCTAGATGTTAGGAATGCATTTTTTCATGTAGACATTCAAGAAGAAATCTATATGGCAATGCCTCCTGGTTTTCAGATTAAAGGGGAGACAAAAAAGGTGTGCAAGTTAAAGAAGGCGATATATAGACTTAAACAGTCTCCTAGAGCATGGTTTAAACAGTGAGGCATTGTTGAAATTTGGGTTCAAAAGGAGTCAAGCTAAATCATACACTCTTTGAGAAGAAGAATACTGCTGGAATTATTGCCTTGATAGTGTATGTTGATGATGTTGTTGTGATAGGGGATAATGTGAAGGGCATTGAGGATCTTAAATCTTATTTAAGCAAAGTGTTTGATATCAATTATCAAAGATTTAGGACCCCTTAAGTATTTTTGGGGAATTGAAGTGGCGAGACCAAAGAAAGGGATAGTCATCTCCCATACAAAATGTGTGTTAGACTTGGTAACAAACGGGGATGTTAAGATCTTGACCTATGGATACTCCTTCAGAAGTCAATCATAAACTTCATGGAGAACGGGGAGAGTTACTCAAAGATCCCAATCAGTATCAACGAATTGCGGGCATACTTGTATACCTCACGATCAATCGACCAGACATCTCTTATGGAGTTAACCTGATCAACCAATTTATCCATGCACTACATAAACCACACCTTGATGTTGTGTACAAAATACTAAGATATCTCAAGTCTGCACCAGGGAAAGGGATGTTTTACTCCAATCGCAGGCATCCTAATGTTGTAGTTTACATTGATGCTGATTGGGATGGTTGCCAAACTGATAGAAGATCCACAACTGGTTATTGTACTTTCATTTTGGGAAACTCGGTTACTTTGAAAAACAAGAAACAAAATGTGGTTGCAAGATCAAGTGTTGAAACATAATACAAGGCAATGGCTGACACTACATGTGAAGTAATGTGTATCAAAAGTGTTCTTTTTATTTGGAGGTTAGAGTTAAGATTGCCATGACTCTATATTGTGACAATGAAGCAACCATTCATATCATGGAAAATCGTATTTCATGAAAAGACTAAACACATTGAAGTAGATTGTCACATGTGAAGTCTAAAGATCAGCTTACAGATATCTTCACCAAAGTTGTTGGACCGAACAAATTACATGATATCATAAGCAAGCTGGGCATAATTTATATCTATACATCAGCTTGGGGGGGAGTATTGGAAATAAAAGAACTAAGCTTGATTGTATTTGATGGGCAAAACTGTCTTTTATCTTTTGTTTAGGACTTATTTGTCTTATTTCTCTAAGTAAGGATGATATTGTCTATAGTTTGTAATAAGGTTGTGGAGGTCACAATAGACCACTACGCTACTCTCTTTCTCTCTATCTCTTATGCGTCTCCCTCTCTCTCTCTCTTCTTCTTCTTTTTCTTTGTTTTCTTTCCTTTCTTTCTCTCTTTAGAACCTATCCAACTGTTCTCTTCTCTTCTTTAATTTCAACTATTACTCCCAGCATGATCCACTCCTGTCTTCAAACAGAGGAAGGAGGGGTCTCCAAACTACTGCCAATTTTGCTTGGTTGCAAAACGTTCCAATGGGCACCAGCAACCTGGTGGCTCTTTAAAAGATGCGATGTTTCTTCGATTTAAGAACTGCTGCAATCCTTTCAGCTAGAACAACCTCCCTAACTTTCTTCCTCTTTCTGTTCTTCTTAAATCCCCTGTAGCTGCCTTTTCACCCCCCATTACTCTTTGTAGGTATTTCTTATGGCTGACCACCTAAAGCCACCAAGAGACAGTGGTCCTACGACCATAAAATCTAGGGTTAAACCCTATGGTCAAACCTAGGTTAAAGGGGTTAAACCTAGGCCATATTTCTAGGGGGATCAATTGAATAAATTATCAAGTTATAGTTTTTCTTTTTTAGTAAGTTACTTCCAGCTTTGATATTTTCCTTTTTTTTTGGGCAGTTTCTAATTTTTTAACAAGGGTTAGCTTCTAAAATAATTATAAAGGAATCAAGATTCATAGGTTTGTTGATCTTAATTGGTGTTCCAGTTAGAGAAATACGGACATGCAGCCCCTTGTAGGGCCTATGCCAACTCAATGAAAATTTGCGTTACGAGATTTTGGAGAGATTCCACTTTGAGGAGAGATTCTTCCTTGCAGCCTTTTAAGATGATACCTCCCTGTCATTGTCTTGGTAGAACACTGTACAAAAGGAAGGGTTTTTCCTTTACACACCTCCATACGAGTAGTTTCTTTATGTTATTTTTCATGTATATATGATTCTCTACAAATTAAAAATATATGATGATGATTTGCATTGGTAATGGACACCACATAATTTTGATGATGCTCTTGATAATCATGGGTGTGTTACCTCAAGGAAAACCACATCTTTAATAGCAGGTATATAATTTTATGAATACCACTGATACCTATTTCTAGCTTTTTGAATACAACTGATTTTTACTTCTATCTTTTTCTTGTTTATTTCAATAAAATCGGTAAAAGGTTTCACATTGAACTTAAATAATGTTGCCAGTGTGATACATACCCCTGAAATTATTCTGGTTTTGTGTTAGGCAGGAATCCCGTTGAGCACCGGGCTGTGAAGATGCTCTAACGCAAATACCTAATGTTTATTGAGGAAGTATTTTGTTCTTGCGACATTGAACATGTGAAGGGGTCAAAATTTTAGGTAGTTCCAGTTATTTCTAGAAGTTCAAAAGTAAGTTTTGATGATATTTAAGAACTAAAGTAACAGAACACTAAATATGTAGAAATTGATGCTTTCTGTAGGACCTAAGGTGAAAATTTTGTTGGTAGAGGTGGTTCGATTGAGAGCGGCACATTTGTACATTGAAGTTGGGGAGCCATGTGTATATTTCTTTTTCTTTCTTGCGAAATTGTAAAATAACACTTCCTGCTTGTTGAGGCCAAATGCTTATCCAGTGTCGACAGTGTAACGGTTTGCTTTGTTCTTTGGAAAAACTTTATGAGGTTGAGGCTCTAAACAATCAAACTAAGGCACACCTCAAAAATTCAACAGAAACTTTTTTTTGATGCCTAAAAACCCTTAAATCCGATCATCTTGACCTTGAGATACATGAAGATTAAAAAAATGGACTTCGTCTTGTAAATAGTGCATCTTGTAATGCATTATGTGGGACCAATTTTCAAGATTTTCAAGTGTTCATAGATTTGCTTGATCTACACTACTTTTTAAACTTCAAATTTTTTAATTAGAGATAAAAAGTACATCTTAAAGCCATCATAAAGATGTTCGGTACTAAAATGACATCTTTTGATAATATTTAAAGGTGCGCCTTACTTTGATTGTTTAGGGCCTCATCCTCATAAAGCACACCCCTTGTTCTTTTGTTATGAAATGCATATCTTGGCAAATCATTTTCATTCATGTAATTGTTGTATTAGCCTGAGAATTGCTAGAATATAAGAATTATGTGGCATGAGAGAACAAGAAACACTGCAACTGAACAAGAAGAAAAAAAGAAAGTGGTGCCAGGATATGGTTATTGGTTTTGGGGAGAGAACCAATCTTGTATTCAACATGTCTGTTGCTTTTGACTAACCCCAGTGATATTGGAAACCTTCATTTTTATTTTTATTTTTATCATTTTAAATGACCGTGTTTTGGTTTACTGTCTTATTGTGCATTTTTTCATTTATGAGTTGTAAATTATCCTTATTATGGGTACATTTCCGTTGTATCTTTAGATACATGCCAGAACAAGATTATCTTTTGAGTACAGATGATCAGATTATGGTGTAAATAAAGCCAAGTAGTTTCTCAGTAATTACTAGATAGGTTAAAAACTTTATTTTTATTTTTTTTGAAAAAATCCAGAAATTTCCATAAATTTTTTGAGAGAACCTTTTGTTTGAAATTGGGAACTTTTGACAATATCTGGATTGCCTTGAACAAGTACTAACACGGAAAGATAATTTATAAAATCACATCCATGAGTTGAACTATTCAATAATTTACTTGGATCGACTTGCAAATATATAATTTTCTTTTTATCAAATTTCAAATAGTCCCATTGACACGACACATGATCATAAATTGTTGTATGGGGGAAAATTGTTGCATGGGTGAAATGTTAAATAGTTGATCTGATAAATTTCTTCATTAAAATACCCGCAAAATATATATGCACGTCCCTTGTGTGTGGTCTTCTTTTTGTGTTATCCATCTTTCTCTGAATTTCATCGTATTGACTTGTCTGTGGTGTACTTTTCCATGTTAAAAAAAAGATGTAGAAATTGAAGATGAAAGCCATGAGACCTGTGACGAGCCTAGAACTATTGCTTTTAAGTTTTTTTAATGTTGCAGAGATGATTTATCTTTGGTACAAGGTGGTTACAATTAATCTCGACCATTGGATGTGAAATCGGGTAATTGCATTTATTTCATTGACCAAACTCAGAGTTCAAAAGAAATTTTTTCATATTTTGTGACATTCAATCTCTTAGATTTCACATTGGATGGTTGTAAGTAAATGTGACATCTTTGTACAAAACGTAAGTGGTCTCATATAATCCCTTCTTTTTATGTGATTTTTCATACCGTACTCACTCCAAAGATCAATTTCATGAAAAAAAATGTTTTGGAGCTAACAAAATGCTCTAAATTATACTAACTCTAAACCCTCAGTTTGGGGAACAATTAGATGGAGGGTTTTAAGAGCTCAAATTTTAATCACATTGAGAAGATAAAAAGAAGCCCTAAACCATGTACTTTGGGTGTTGGATCAAATGCAAAAATTGGTCTTGTTGTCATGACCGGTACATACTCATAAGCAATTAACCAAAGGATGAGGTTTGTATGAGGTGTGAAAATTTATGTTTAACCTTAATTATGAACTTTAAAAGTTCAAAAAATAGTGCAAATCGAGCAGATTTATAAAACACTTGAAAACCTTGAAACTTGACAGTCCAATAAATGTGTTACAAGATGTATTATTTTTAAGACTTGAAATTCTTTTTTTTCTTTGTATCTATATATATCGAAGTCGAGGTAAATTGAAAGGTTTTCTAACTTTGAAACACTCTTTTCTACTAGATTTTGAGTTACACCTTACTTCTATATAATGAAGGTACAGCCTTTTATAAACTTTTTCCTTAACCAAAATATCATACAGTAAAGCCCGACAAAGCGTTGTAGTATCAGGATACACGTGCTTTTGCACACGTCGCCAAAGCAAGAGAAGTATAAAATCAAGTTACCCTTAATTTTCATCATACTTCGTTTCAGCAAATATTGGTAAACGTGATTGGTAAAATAGTTTAGATAAAATTATAAAAGTTTTTATAATGAAACATCAGGTTTTCCCAAGGGGTGGATTCCTCTTTAAAAACGACTTGCATTGGAGGGAGCATTTTGGGACTCAAGCTTGGGTCAAGGCGATAGCAGCTGGGTTTTCATAACAGTACGTCTTAAGTTTCATTCTTCAGTAATTTTATTTTGTCAAAAAGATGATATTTTTTCAAAGAAGGGAGTTTCCTCCTTCAAATTCTATTTCCATTCCTCAGTAATTTTGTCAAAAAGATGATATTTTTTCAAAGAAGGGAGTTTCCTCCTTCAAATTCTATTTCCATTCCCATGTATGTATCTTTGTCAAAAAGATGATATTTTTCCAAATAAGGGAGTTTCCTCTTTCAAATTCTATTTGGATGAGAGAGAGAACACGGAGATATAAACATTAAATTAGGTTGGGAAATCGATATTAGTTATGATAAATTAGGTTGGGAAATCGATATTAGTTATGATCTCTTGTATTATACCCTAAACTCTCTCTTGGCAGGAACCTATTTCTGACTAGATGGTGTATTTGCACCCTTAATTATGACTTAATAAAGTAGAACACAAATGTTAGAAGAGAATAAAATAAAGGAAAATTAACAAACAAAAAAAAAGTATTATTTAATTTTTAAATTAACAAAAAAAAGTATTATTCAACCATTGGATAGATTAATTGGGGGTATTTTAGGAAAAAAAATTGATTGAAAAGGAGGATCTCAACGAAAAATTCAAAACAATTTGGACCATTTTTTATTTTTGAAACAAAAAGGATCTCTATATTAATTTCACTCTAATATATTTTATATTTTATTATGTTTGTGGTTTATATCAAGCATCAATGTTAAACAATCAAAATAATGCGCACCTCCAAACCCTGTTAGAAGATTCAGTTTTGGTGTCGAAACTTCCTACGATGGCCTGAAAATATATTTCCAGCTGCAGTTATGAAATTTAAAGCACGAATAATGGTGTGGATTGAGCAAAGTTGTGAAATACAATATTTTTTTAATAAGAATATTTTTGGTTATTAGGAGGTTGTTACATCATTTAGGAAGGACTTGACATTACCCACATGAAACATTAATTACCACTAGTGTACTCCTTGTGGGTCATGTTATACATCTAAATGATGTCACACCCTTTATAATGACCAAAAATACTTTTATTAGAAAAATATTGTATTACAAAACAAGAGTATATAAGTGTTTAAAATTTATTGAGTACAATTATAAAAAGAAAAAATTTACATAAGGCTGCAACTTTAAAATGTAGAATTACAGATGCACCTCAAAACTCCATCGAAAAAGATTGGTTTAATGTTGAAAAACCCTCTAATTGATCATCTCAACATCGAGATATATGCATACATATATAAAAAGAAAGATTTTGAGTCTTAGAAATAGTGTTTCTTGCAACATATTATCTAAACCATCCATTTTCAATATTTTCATATGTTTATACATCTACTTGATTTTTACCATTTTTGGTGTTTAAAAGTTGGAAAAAGTTTACATAAGGTTGCAACCTTAAAATGTGGAATCACATATGCACCTCAAAACTCCATCAGAAAAGGTCGTTTTAATGTTGAAAAACTTTCTAATTGGCCATCTCGACATCGAGATGTATGAATAAAAAAAAGAAGGGATTTCGAATCCCAAAAATAGTGCATCTTGCAACACATTATCTAAACTGTCCATTTTCAAGATTTTCATATATTTATAGATCTACTCGATTTTAATCATTTTTGGAGTTTAATTTTTTTTAATTAGATATAAAATAGGTTTTCAAATAATCCTAAGATTTGTTTATACCAACATCACATGTTATGATAAATTTGGAGGTACGTTTTAATTGGATTATTTAAAGTTGCAACCTTATAGAAACCACTCCCTTAAAAGTTTATAATGAGAGAAGAAAATAGATTTTGAAATAATCCTAAGAAGTTTTTACACCAAAATTACATGTTATGATAAAATTAAGAGGTGCGCCTTAATTGGATTGTTTAAGGTTGCAACCTTATAGAAACCACACCCATAATAAAATGCCTTTTAAATAAAAAAATTGTATATAATGAGACCATTTATTTTTGACACAAGCTGGTCACGGTTACTTACAACCATCCAATGTGAAGTTTGATAATTTGGATATATCACAAAGTTCGTAAAAAAAATTTCTTTTGAAGTTTGAGATTGGTTAATGGAATAATTGCAGCCACCCAATTTCGCATCTAATAATCAAATTAATGTCTTACCTTGTATCAAAGGTGAAACTAAAACAGACAGCATTGATTATTGCAACCATATTGGAACTTCAATAGTGCAATGTAGGACTAGGGACCAAAAATAAAACAAAATCTGCCCTTTCAAAAGAAAAGATTCAGTGGTTATTTTCTGGTATGCCATAACTAAAATAGACGGCATTGATTATTGCAACCATATTTGAACTTCAATAGTGCAATGTAGGACTGGGGACCAAAAATAAAACAAAATCTGCCCTTTCAAAAGAAAAGATTCAGTGGTTATTTTCTGGTCTGCCAAGCGATAAGAGCGTATTCTTCTTCTTGGACTGAGGCTGATACAGTTTCAAATTTCATAGTCATGGGCGTCAATTTGCAGGCGCAAAGGCCCCTGCTTTTTGCATTTCCGCAGGGTTTGAACTCCAACGAAGCTCAGATAAGCTCGGTTTGTGAAATCTGTGTGAATTCTAGGGTTTTGAGACCTGGAATTCGTGGAGTTCTAATAAAATCCAGGGAGTCAAAAACACTGGTTGATGGAATTTCAGTTCGATCAGCGCTCCCTTGCGCTTTCCTTCTCCATCATTCATCAGGTGTTTCTCTAATTTCTTTAAATTTTTTATTTTTTAATCAATTTGGTAGAAATACTTTGAACATTTCAGGCCTCTTTTTGTTTTTTTGGTTTTTAATATGTTGGTTTTGAGTTCAGGTCCACGTCTTCGAATTGGGCGGGTTTCCTGCACTACAAGGAGCGAACAAGAAGGCGCCTCTGTATCTGGTACATTTTAATTGCCTTGTTTTTATATTTTTCAGTTTTTGGTCTCTATGCATTTGAAAATTGTTTTGGATTAAAAAATAAGGTTTCGTGTGATTTTAGCTCCATGTGATTTGTGTGCTTTCTCTTTGGTTCTTTGTTCATTATACTTCTCATCATTTTCGCAGTTACTTAGATTGGCTGAATTTTAAATTTTGGCCTTTGGCCATAGTATAAGCTATTGACCAGGTGCAACGCACTTACAGAGATGTATATCTTGATATGTAAATGAAGTTTCTGATATGGTTCTCTTCACTTATGGGTATCATAATTTTGTGAAAATTATGTTCATCTTTAGTATGAAATACTTAAACTTATGCAGGAGTGAATCCCATTTAAACCCGTGGAGCTCAAGCTCTTTGTTTGCGAACTAGATTTTAGGTGCTAGATTCCAATGAGTTAATCTATAGTTCTTTGTTCAAATTATCCACATGGCTTGATGGTTGAGGCTAATAAGTTCTATTTGTAGTAGAATTATGAATTTTATAGGGAAGTGTTTGTTGGAGGGATGTGGTCTTTCAAGGCCTCGATCGCCAATGTATACCTTGTATATATAAACAGTGGGAGCATGGGACTCGAAAGGGACCCTATTGTGGTTGATTCGCCAGTTGGCGATCAGGTGCATGGGAGTGTATCTCAGATGCACAGAAACCTCTGCCCACGGGGCTACGCTTAAGGCCCATGCATCTATTGAAGAGGGTCTGGGGCCATCCCTTGGTCGAAGTCGAAGATACCCTGTGGGTTGGCTGGAGGGTAGAATGGAACCTCCACGTGGGAAGGCTATCGTGTGAGGACAAGGTTCTAATCCTTGACCATTACCTACTCATGACATGTGAATATGAAAGCTTCTTATGAGAAGCCTTCTTCTGGGGTGGTCCTGGGAAGTTCGTGCACATGTGCATGAGAGAGGAACCCCTGCACCCAAGGTGCTTGACTTCTCCTTGGGGGTGCACTTGAAATCCGTTAATAGACTCCATATCCCCTCCATCTACTGGTTGGCTTTGATGGACCAAGATTGAGCGCCTACCTAAGAATGTGGGTCATGGGTTCGTTGGGTCGATTTGAGAAAGTGGACATGGGTTTTGGGGTAAGCTGAATAGAATACCTTAGTGATTTGATTTTTTGAGCTTGTAGGCGGCTAATTTTTTTCAAGAATTTTTGAGACCTCCAAACTTTTTGCAATGATAAAACAAACTTAAAATGATTTTTGAGGATTTTTAAAAATATTAAATGATTTTTATGGTTTCAAGAAAAAGAAAATATTAAATGATTTTTTGAACTCAAATTGGTCTAAGAAAAATTGTTTTCATTAATTCCAATCTAGGACAAATAGGACACATGTGGCGTACATGGCCAATGCACCATGTGTGTGGCCACCCCGTGGGCTCCACAAGGCCTCACATGATGCTGACATCAGCATGGCAACAACATCTTGAGCGGCACACTAGTTTTAGCCCTTGTTTGGTTGTCCGCATGTTGGAGATATGAGTGTTTTATTTTAAAGGGATGTGGGGGGACCACTTTGGACATGTGAAGAAAAGACACTTCTTCTGGAAGGGACATTTGTTGATATTAAGCTAACGACCTAGGACATTCCTATATATGGCCTCCATAATGACACTTGACACATGAGGCCATGAGGGTTTGCCCACATGTGTGATAGAAGGATAATTTTCATTGGTCACATGTGTGAGGTCATGTGAATTAGTTAAAGTGAGAGAGAGAAGACACATCAGCCTATTTTGACTAATATCACATAATAACCAAGCGTAAGAGCGAAGAAATGAGAGGTACGCCCCCGCCCATGGAATCTATCTCTCTCACACTTCGAGTAAAATATCAAGAGGCTAACCTTGGTCACTGGATTAATGTGGATTAACCTAGACTAAATCAGGATTAAATTCAATAAAGGGAAACCAAGGGCTTGGATGGTCTTGGAGATAAAGGTGTCCTATTCGATCACTTTGTCCTATTTGATCCCTTTGAATTCCGTATTCGAAGTTGTGATCAGATCTATTCATTAAAAAGAATCTCTTTGATACATTTCTTATGTACCCATAGGTGCTATATTGGATTGGAATCAGATTTCGGATCAATCCATATTGATTGACGGCCTCCATTATGTTGTTGCTAGCAAATATCACTATTTTTGGATCTTTCAAACCATTCCTGTTGGAGATTCGGACCGATTTTCTTCTGTTCCTTTGATAAAAAGATTCAAATCCTGTCCTTTGAGCTATGATAGCTAGATAAAGATGGGTGATTTGGATTAAAAGCTTTCTCACCCTATGGATTTCCAAGATCAAGGGCTCATAATCCACCTCCCATAAGAGAACCTTCAACACACTCACGTAGCTTTAATTTTCTCTTATAAGTAGGGTTGCTGAACCCCTCATTTTTCAATCTCTTGGAAGTAATGAAATGCTGCCCTAATTTCTAGTGAGAAAAAAGTTAGAGTGATGGGCTCTCCCATAGTAGTGAGAGAAGGAGAGGTGACCTTGGTTCAAAGTTGTGTAGTCCATAGCTCCTTTCTCTACCATACTTCACCATACTTTTCATAAGCCTAAGTAAACTCCCAAGGAGCATCACACACTCTTCTTCTAGCTGAAGCACGTTCCTCATAGGTGATTTCTAGCAAGGTTTAAGCCCTCTTACTATCCCGCCTTCATAATATCCAGGTACAGTCTTGCATTAGTCTTCTTCAAGCTGAAACACCTTCCTCGTAGGCGATTTCTAGCAAGGTTTAAGCCCTCTTACTATCCCCATAAGACTATTTTCTAAGCCCTCATAATGTCCTGTCTCTCATTAGAATATATCTATTACCTATACTTGACCTCATGTTTGTGCATGCCATAGGGAACTCTTTTAAACCTGAAACCTAATCTTGTGTCAATCCCCAAGTTCTTAAATAGTTTGGAAGAGGTTCTATTTGTTTCTCACTTGTACCGGTGCTACCGAGGTGGAGCATCTGGCATGGGGTGTATGACCTCCTGAGGAGTTGATCTCAAGCATCCTTAAGGTAAAATCGGCTTTCCATGGTCCATGATTGTTTGTTAAATTGTACTTTGAGTTGTCATTACAAGAGATAGCTTTGTTGAAGTTTATGCAAGTTTTGTAAATCTTTGATGCAATTGTTGTTTTAAGTGTATGTGGCTAAATGTTTTGACTAAGTATAAATTGTCTTGTATTTAAGCTATCTCTTGGTGTCATTTTCAATGGAAATTGAATTGAGGCCATGATGACTTGTATTTGATGTATTCTCGAAGTCTTGTAATTGAGTTTTAAGTGAGTAAATTTGTCTATGAATGTGTATGTAATGTGCACTTATGTGCCTTAAGTGAAGTTTTTAAGTGTTGGGTAAGTTGAGACCGCAGTTTTACACCTAACAGTATCACCTTCTTACAAGGTTCAGTACGAAGGCACACTAGCCAACCCCCATGGTGGATTTAGTTTTCAAATTGACATGTGCACTCGTATTTTAGGATGATCTCTGATTTTTAAATATTACATATTGCATACGTAGGTCTTTGGTATCGTAAAGTGGTTGATGACAAATGACTTTCGCGTAAGAAATTATGTCGTTTTAATGGTTGATGTGTATAAAATGGAGATCTTTGCATCTCTATGATTGTGTATAGATGGAGAATTGGTTCTTCCTGTTTGATTACTTCAAAGCTTTGAGAATATGAAATATGTAGTATATATTAAAATTGTTCGCTTTAATTGATGGAAAAAATTGTCTGATTATTTGTTTGGACCAAATTGTCTTTGATTATTTTGAAATTTTTATAAAATGTGTTTTTACGAAGGCACGTGGATCACTCAGTGTTTATTCGAAGACAATCCACAGATATAATTCTCGGTGGTTCATATTGATGATATTGTCATTGCACTGAGTGATAAGGAAGGAACTAATAAATTGAAGGAGTATTTGCGACATTATATTTAGACAAATGATTTGAGATAGCTAAGGTACTTTCTTGGAATTAAAGTCACCCGATCTAAGTATGGTATTAGTCTGTCTCAAAGGATGTATGTAACAGATTTATTATCAGAAAATATGGATGTTGGGTGCTAAGCCATTGATACACCTGTAGATCCAAATATTAAATTATCAAAGGATTGAGGAGAGTTATTTGAGGAACGGGGCAGGTAGAGATGACTTGTAAGCAAACTTATTGACCTGATGATTAGTCGACCTTATACAGCCTTTGCAGTGAGTATAGTAAATCAATTCATGCACTCCCCCAGGACACCACTGTGGGAGGCTGTGCAAAGAATCTTGAAATATCTCAAGGAGCCTCCAGGTCGAGGGCTTATTTACAGGCAGAATGGACATTTCAGCATTGGCAGTTGTTTTGATGCTTATTTGGCAGGGTCTCCATTAAACAGCTATTGTACTTCTGTTGGAGGACATTTGGTGACTTGGAAGAGGAAAAAACAAAATGACATAGCTAGGTCTGTTGTAAAGGCTGAATACAGAGCAATGATTCACACTACATGTAGCAAAGGATGTATGTAACAGATTTATTATCAGAAAATATGGATGTTGGGTGCTAAGCCATTGATACACCTGTAGATCCAAATATTAAATTATCAAAGGATGGAGGAGAGTTATTTGAGGAACCGGGCAGGTACAGATGACTTGTAAGCAAACTTATTGACCTAATGATTAGTCGACCTTATACAGCCCTTGCAGTGAGTATGGTAAATCTATTCATGCACTCCCCCAGGACACCACTGTGGGAGGCTGTGCGAAGAATCTTGAAATATCTCAAGGAGCCTCCAGGTCGAGGGCTTATTTACAGGCAGAATGGACATTTCAGCATTGGCAGTTGTTTGGATGCTGATTTGGCAGGGTCTCCATTAAACAGCTATTGTACTTCTGTTGGAGGAAATTTGGTGACTTGGAAGAGGAAAAAACAAAATGACATAGCTAGGTCTGGTGTAGAGGCTGAATACAG